TGACATTTTCTAATCCCCAAAAGAATTTCCAAATGTGTTTTTAAAATCCCTACTTCACTGTACACATTGAGCTGTCACCTAAAAAGCAACAACCACAACAACTATCAGGGTTAGCCTGCTTCAACAATGAGAAAGCCTACAATGGTAGTAAAACTCCCAAGTTTCATAGAAATCTTCTAGGAAATGCTGAACACTTCTCTCGGTCCACAATGATTCTACGCACCTAATCATAGGGACCTCACAAATGGAGAATCAGGCAGCATGATCCGGCCAAAGTCAGAACAGTAATGATCTTTTCAAAAGCTTTAATATACAAGCAATCTGATTCTCCATGAAATTGTATTGGCTTCTAAGAACAGTCATGCACCGCATAAGGACGTTTCGGTCATCAACGGACCGCATACAGGACAGCGGTCCCCTAAGACTAGCACCACACAGCCTCGGTGTGTAGTGGGTAGGTGAGTACACCCTAGGAGGTTCGCGCAGCGACGACACTGCCTAACGACACATTTCTCAGAACGTATCCCCATCAAGTGACGGAGGACAGTACTTCAGAAAGTAATATAAACATAAATGAATTTATTTACTCAACAAATCTGAGCCCCTTCCAGCGCCAGGCACCATTCTAGTCTATCCTTCCTACTCTACAAACCTTCACACAGCCAAGACATTTTACGTCACTATGAGCCTCAAAAATCAAAACAGTAAGCCAAAATTTAAGTCTTTCATGTCTTATTTCTAGTAACAGTCTTACTGACATCCTCAGACAATGTTTCCTTATGGCATTTTTTAGCCACTTATTTAAAATGTACAGCAACTTCGCATATTAAAAGAGAACCAACAATTCATTGACGATTTTAGATAAACAGAAAAGCCGCTTTGTACTCAATTCATTTGAACAAAGGCCTTCTTCCTTGACTGAAAATTTCAATTTCACCAGCTAGACCTCAAAAATAATGCTCTTCTCTCTGTATTCACCCCTGCCTATATATACCACCATACGACAGTCCTAGTTTTTAGACCCACACACATTCCTAAAGACTGGCAAAGAGAACGTGGAAAATCCTGACCGCCTGTGCTTCCACAAGAGTTCATCTGCGAACGGACTGCTTTTCGGCGTCTGTCAAAAGCCTGAATGAGACAACTGGTATTTGAGGGGCATCATATGAAAAGCAAATTAACTCAAGTCTAATGAATCAAATCACCAGAACGATGGACCCCTCTATTACTAGAGCTTTCTTATTATGCCCGAGGCTTTTATCTGGTTTCTCTAAAATGGCACGTGAAAAATGTTTCTCTATCACTGTAAAATGTAAAACATTTTCTTCATAGATTGTTAACGTCATTTTATGTAAGACTTCAAACGATTACTTATTCTTCATACGAGAGAAATGCTGCTTCTCCTTATTAATTGGTATAGTTCCGTTCATTCATCAATGCCAACTATAATTAGTCCTGTTTCCTCTTTTGCTTTGACTAATAAAAATTTTTTTTAAAACAACCTTAAGTTACAGCAGATGCTGAGCTGTCCCTGCCCTAAGCTTCTCATCTAACTCCATCTGCCCCTCAATCTTTACCTGTATCTTCACAGCCCTCTCAAACACCTATTATTATATGACCATCTCAGATCCTTTCTCAAAGCAGACAAATAATCAAATATACACATCCACTGGGCTTTTAGAAGGAACTAAACTCTTGAATGCCTAAAAAGCAGAGCAGAAGGTAAACAGGATAAATCACTTGGCTCCAACTTACTATGTACACAAGTTCACTGCGGACCTGACCAGTGCCTTCCTGGGCATCTAACAGAGGCAACACGGCTCCATGAGGATCAACTGAATGAGTTCAGCTATCTGAACGCGTACTTGCCAAACACTGACAGGAACCGAGATTAGAAAAATGAGTGAATCCTGGGCCTCAAGGAGACTACAGTCTTTTACTGACCCAGAGGAAGCGTTTGTAGGAAAGTATAACTGTCTGAAACAGCCCTGAGAAAACTCACATTGAAATAAACTCTGAGTCTAGTGTTTTGACGATCAAGAAACAACCTGACCACTTCTGGGCACACACCCCAAAGAAGTGAAAGCAGGGATTCCAACAGGTATTTGTACACTATGCTCACAGCGGCATTTCTCACAAAGCCAAACGGGAGAAGCAGCCCAAGCATCTATCGATGGATGTATGGATAAGCAAAACGTGGTGTGCGTACAGACGAAACAAAACGTTATTCGACCTTAAAAAGGAAGGAAATTCTGCCACATGCTACAGGATGGATGAATCCTGAGGAGGCTAAGCTAAGCGAAATAAGCCAGTCATGAAAGGACAAGTACTGTATGACTCCACTTACACGAGGATCCAAGAGGAGTCAGATTCATAGAGACAGAAAGTCGAAGGGTGGCTGCCTGGGGCTGGGAGGAGGTGAAACAGGGAGTCAGTGTTTACTGGAAAGAGTTTCAGTGGACGAAGATGAAAAAGATCCGGAGACGGATGGTGGTGACAGTTGCAAAACAATGTGAATGTACTTAGTGCCACAAACCGTACACTGAAAAAGGGTTAAAGGTGGGTAAATTTTGCTATGTATGTCTTACCACCAAAAAAAATCTGAATTATTCAGATAATCAGGTGTCCCCTGTACATTTAAGGTTAGACAGAGTTTCATCCAACAAGTATTAAGTAAGGACTGACTGACGTGTTACGCAGGTTTTCCCCCTAAGTCCACTTGGAACAGCGATGCAACACAACACAAGGAATCTGAAATCAAAGCATGATTCAATCCGGGCACTGCCACTTCTCGAGTCATAACTCGCGGCAATAACCTCCGAGTTATAACCTCCGGCAATAAACTCTTGGTTTCCCTGCGTGTAAACTAAGGACGGTGTTGACTCTGTCTCAGGGTCACCGTGAAGATGAAATGAGAACGGATACAAAAACATCTGAAACATCTTGGCACATAATCAGCAGGCATTTCTTATTATAAATGTTTCCCTTCTCTCCTTTGCCACAAGTGATGATCACAGGATGTTAAGGTCACAAGTGACAGAATGTCTATGAAATACCTACTTTCTCAAATGAAACAAGCATCTCACATGTCAGACAGCGGCAGGTAATAAATATCTCAATGCCATAAGTCATCCTTCCTAGAAGGCAGCCCTATACTAAAAGTCCTACCCACTGTATAACACCACAAAATCACTATCCAAGAAGAATTATGAGCCACATCAAAATAAAACGTCTTCCGAAGCCAAGACAATAAAACTCAGCAACGGCAAAACCACCTCGCTATACAACTCACACACAGAGCCTCTGACCTAACACAGTGACAAACTTAACCTTCACTGATGAGATGGCAGCACAGAGTAAAGCAAGGCCTTACTAAAATGATTGCAGGAAAAGGTCTTTTCTCCCCAAATTAAATTTGAATAACACATCTTTACATAAAACAGCATTTTGATGCCATGAATTAATCCATTAACCAACACTAACAATTTAAATGTTTACAGTGACCACATTAAAATCAATCTTTATAGGATTTCTAATCTACAGACAGAGTTTTATAAAATATGGCCTAAAATGAAGCTTTGAAATAATAGTGTGTATGTATATATAGCACATGTGACATCCAATACACATGTGCCACAGGTAGCCAGCTAGCTTTAAAGACAACACTTTGCATAATAAACTGACTATTCTAGAACCTAGTCCCAAAGGTATTAATGGTACTAAAATTGTGATTCACTAACAGCCTCATTCAGAATCCTGTACCATCATCCCTCCTCCAATAAATTACTGGAGCTGTTGGTTAAAAGGGGTATTTTTACTTAGAAAATGTAATGTTTACATCAACCCATGATCAATTTAGTTAACCTTTTATTAAAGCACATTTAAAAAATACATTTTCCAAGTTACTTAACTCCTGACTTGTACCCTTTTCCATTCACTGAGTGTGCTGCACTTTTAAACCAAGCAACAGGAAGACCACTGAAAATCAAAACCGTAAAGACTCAGAAAATCCAAAGACAGAAGCATCTCAAAGACACACAGACTTCAAAGTAATACTCTTTAATAAGATGAATGCTTTTAAACCACGATAGTCCTAAGAATGCTTAGACTTATGTGGGTCAGTAACGTGTCCCTTTAGGCCCGACTTCCTTCACAAAAGCACAGACCTAACACTATAGAGCCAGGACCCCCAGTCATCTGTCTGCAAATCTTCAGGCTACTGAGGATACATTAAGCGGTAGGTTAGCTCCGTGCGGCGGGCAAAGCCACAGGGGCAGCTCAGCTTTTCTAGACACCCTGCAGGAATCTCACGGGCTAACTTAAAACATACACTGATTTCCCAAAGATTAAAAACCCTTTAAGAAAGGATCCTTGGCAGGGTCCAGGCGTCTGGGCACAAAAACATCGGAGGGGAGGGGCGAAAACATGGCCTCGGCCACACGCCCCGTGGGACCCAGATCTGGTCACCTGCCAATAAACACGAACAATCCTCCCCGGGCGGGCCCCGAAGGCTCGCGCTTTCCTGCCAGGAGGGACAGCCCGTGCTTCCTTCCTCCCCGGCCCTCTCCAGCGGGCCCACGGAGGCCCAGCGCCGCGGCCCCCGGCAGGCCAGGGCCCGAGGATGCTCCGGGATGCCGCGGCTGCCCCCGGGCCACTCTCCGCGCGCCGCCCGACCTGTCAAACCCCGCTCTCCGCGGACTGCGGGCGAGCGGGGAGCACCGGCCCCACTCCGCGCGCCCAGCCGCTGCCAGGGCGGGCGCACAGGGTCCCTCCAAAGCGCCCACCCCGGAGGGGCGCGAGGCAAGGGCGGCGCGGAGCCCGGCGGGGGCCCCGGCCCCACAGGCCGCGCCCTCTGCCCGCGCCGGTGTCGCCGCGCGGGCCAGGCCGGAGCGCGGGGCCCAGCGCGCCCATGCGGGGCCTCGGCGCGGAGGCGGGCGCGGGGCCGGGCGGAGCCGCTCCCCGCCCCGCACACAAAGCGGCTCCGCGGGAGCCCGCCTCACCTGCAGCACGGGGCGCCGCGGGCCTTCGAGAACCATCGGACCCCGCTCCGGCGCGCGCGTCACAGCCCAGGCCTCCCGGTGCCGCTCGGCGCCGCCGCCGCCGCCGCCATTTCCTCCCGCTCGCCGTCGCCTCGTCCCCGCTGTCAGGTTACTCCATTCACCTGGGCCTGGAGCAGCCTGCGCCGCGCCGCGCCGCGCCTCCGCCTCGACCCCTCCCGCTGGCGCCTGCGGAGACTGCGCAGCGCCCGGCTCGCCTGCAGCCCGCGCACGGCCCGCGGCAACGGCGCACCGCCGCTTGGAGAATCCCACCGGCGCCCGCGCCGCCCCCTCCGCGCCCCACGCGCCGCTCGCCCCGCGCCGGCATGAGAGCCAGCCTGTGATTGGACGGGGCGCGGCGGTGAAAGGTTAATCCCGGCCGTGCAGCCACTCAGGAGCCGGGAGACAGAGGGCGCGGGCGGCGGCGTTTGCGGCCCAGCGCCGAGACCGAGCCGGCCTTCCATCGCCCGCTGCCCGGCGCCTTGGCGGCCCCGGGGCCCGCGCGCCGACGCGGCGGACGCTCGCCTCGCTGGGCAGAGCCTCCTGGCCCTCGGAATCCGCCCGCCTCCATTGTTGCCCCTCTGGCGCCCACCGCCCCCTAAACGTGGCCCTGCCCCGCGGCGGTGCTTGTTCTCCCGAGGGCTCCGCGCCCCTTCCACCATCCCCCTCCCCTCCTAAAGACCTTCCCACTTGCCTGCTTTCCCCCGCGGTGGCGGTGCAGGGCCCTCCGCATGTGGGGAGACCACAAACCCCACCCCCACTCCCAACCCGGAACAGGGATGACCAGAAAGTGAGATGGGGACTGTGGCCCCGTTTATGTAAATAGTTCCTTTGCGTAGGTCACAGCCTTGCACCATATCTCAGAGTTGTGCGTTAAAATAGGGAGGTCGAGTAAGTGACTAGCTTAAAGAAAATCCCTTTAGTCTATCTCAAAATGTAGGCATCTCTTCCAGAGGACTCAGTATAAGCTCGTTTACTCCAGAGGGGGTATGCTAACGGCAACCATGCTTCTGCTAGTAAGAGTTAGCCCTTAGCACCTACGACTCGCTAGATCTGGTCTCAGGCTGCGCCGTTCCGTGCAGTGGTCGCCAGCCCCGTGGGCCTATTGAGCGCTTAAAAGATGGCTAGTCCCAATTGAGACGTGCTCGTCGGAACTCAGATGTATGTGTTCTTCATCAAAAAAGAATGTGAAACAGCTCACTATATGGATTACCTGTGGAAGTGATATTTTTGACATATTGGGATAAATTTGGTTTCATTTGTTTTTTGGGTTTTTTTAATGTGACTAAGAATTATTTTAATGTCTTAGGTGGCTAGCATGATACTGCTCTTGGACAGGCTGGTGTAAGCCTGTGATCTTCGTGTGAAACCTGTGAGGTAGGTGCTGTAATTGGCCCCCATTTGAACAGATGAAGAAAGTTAATAACGCCCATCAGGTAAGCAGCTAATAAGGGAACAACTGAGATTCGGACCCAGGTAGTCTGGCATCAGGACTGGTGTACTCAATCACTACAGTGCTCAAGTTTGGATCCTAGATTTGCTGTAAATTGGCTAGAAGTTTCATCTAAACAGAGAATGTTCGTGGGCCAAATTAGGAAGTAAGCAGGATGCTCGTGGCAGACCTCTGGAAAAGTAATGTTTCTTCTATGTCGAGCACCGTGGGCAATAGACCTCCCCAGTAATATATGTGAAGGCTTTAGAGATAATGCTTTATGAGAAGGAGGGCATCTCAGGGTGGGGATAGGCACAGGCTCCTCTAGCAGTGGAAATTTGTGAGAGGTAAGACTTGCCTCCCCCTCATGCCATCCCCTCAATCTGTCAAGACTAGCTGGGTTTCTCCATCAGCAGCCTTGTCTGATTTTCATCAATTTTTTAAATTTTGGGGGTAGTACAACAACCCACTTAAAAAATTGGCACAAGATCTGAACAGACATTTTTCCAAAGAAGATATACAAATGGCCAACAGGCACGTGAAAAGATGTTCAACATCACTAATTATTAGGGAAATGCAAATCAAAACCACAATGGGAAATCACCTCACAGATGTCAGAATGGATTATTAAGAAGACAAGAAAGAACAAGTGTTGGACAGGGTGTGGAGAAAAGGGAACCCTTGTACACTGCTGGCGGGAATGCAAACTGGTGCAGCTCTGGAAAGCAGTATGGAGATGCCTCAAAAAATTAACAATAGAGCTGAAATATGATCCAGCTATTCTACATCTGGGTGTTTATCCAATGGACATGAAAACACTAATTCAAAAAGATATATGCACTCCTATGTTTGTTGCAGCATTATTCACAATAGCCAAGACTTGGAAACAACCTAAGTGCCCATCAACAGATGAAAGTATAAAGATGTGGTATACATATATAATAGAATACTATTCAGCCATAAAAAAAGATGAAGTCTTGCCATTTCCAACAACATGGGTGGACCTTGTGGATATTATGCAAGTGAAATAAGTCAGATGAAGAAAGTCAAACACCGTATGATTTCACTCGTATAAGGAAGATAAAAAAAAAATGAACAAACACATAGATACAGAGAATAGATTGGTAGTTACCAGAGGGGAAGGGAGGTGGCAGGAGGGCAAAAGGCGTAAAGGGGTACTTTTGTACGGTGACAGATGGCAACTAGACTTTTGTGGCTAACATAGTGTAGTCTATACAGAAGTTGAAATATGATGTATACCTGAAATTTATGTAATGTTATAAACCAATGTTACCTCAATAAAAATAAATCAAATTAAATAGTACATACATGTGATTCATCGATCAGAAAGCATAGCAAGGTATACAGTAAAAAAAAAACTCTCCCCTACACCTGTCCCCATGCCCTGAACAGGTAACCACTGTTTCTTGCTCATTCCTCTAGAGAATTGTTTTATGCATATACAAGCCAAGACGTTCCTCCTTTACAAAAGTGGTAGTGTGCCATACACATTTACTATACCTTGCTTTTTTCACTTAATATATCAAGAAGCCATGTCTACAGCAATATATACAGAGTTCCTTGCTATTTATTTCAAAGCCCATAACATTTTATTGCAGAGATGTGCCATTATTTATTTAACCAATTCTCTATTGATGGGAATTTAGACTTCCAATCTTTTGCAATAAAACACTGATCCATTTGGAACTGATTCAGTATATGGGGTGAGGTATGAATCCAAATTAATTTTTTTTATGGCTGGCTACACAGTTTGCCATTTGTTGGCCATTTATTGAAGAGTTCACTTCTAGACTATCTATTCTGTTCCAATGGTCTATCTATTCATGCTCCAGTTGCTGGTTTGGTTTGTTTTAAATCTGGAGACATAAAATCTTGTAAAGGATAATGTTTCACACTTTGTTTGGATCACTAGAAATCTTGGAGCTAATATTTCAGCTCATGTTAAGCAACAGTACAGTACCATGTGGAATGCATTTTCTGTGGGTTAATTTTTATTTTCCCTTTGCCCTGATTATTTCCACAATTTGTTTTTTTGTAGACCAAGCCAGGATATAAATATATCTTTAAGACTCTCTGTTTGCAAGTAACAGAAACCATCCTGAAGTAGCTTACCCAAAAGGGAAGAATTGTTCATAAAGATGTAGGCGCTTCTCACAAAAGCCAGAAGCAGGAATATGACTACATCTTAGCAAAGGGCTAGAACCAGGAGTTGGAAAGTTTCCAGGAGTCCAAAAGGTGCTCCCTGTGTCCTTCTGTGATTCTTTTCTGTGTCTCTGCTTCATCTGTGTTATCTCCTTCTACTGACTCATTCTCTGCTTTTTCATCTACATAGGAGAATATAGCCACCACAGTGTTCAGCCAGGAAGTCAGCCCAGTGTGGGGTCAGAGCCCCAACACGGAAGGTGGGGCGACAGTCCTGCAAAGTCAGGTGGCTGTACACATGGAACTACACAAAGAAAAAATGATATTGAGGATAATGGAAGCCAGGATTCTCACTGTTGGAGAAGGGGGTTACAAATAGAGAAAGGGAAAAAGCAAGAAGGCTTGAGAGATTGGATTGGGATTATGAATTCAGAGTTTTCAATATATATGGGTATAAAAATAAATATAAATGTAACAGTTTCATATAGAGGAGACTGGAACATTTTATTATGCCAGAAAGTATGAAAATGCTCAAAGAATGATAGAGACATTTCAAAAGAGCAAAGCAGTTAGCTTGAAGGACACACACTAGCCAAATCTAGGACAATTTGAGCATCAAAATATGATTGTAAGAGATTATATTCCATTGAAATAACATAGAATCCATGAGTCCAGACTGCTATTTTTTTTAAAAATGAATAAATAAATGAGGAATAGCTCTTCCTTAGACTAGATTGTAACTAATAAATTTAGAAGGAATAATGGAATTAGAAAGTCGCCATTTGGCAATCATCAGACAAGAAGTAGCAATGTTTGCTAAATCTACTGGGTAGAAGTTGGACAAAGAATGAGTTATTTACATAGGTTCAAAGCATCTCCCCATAAAATTCTTATTTAAAAAACGGGAACTTGACAAAAGAGAATCTAGCGGGCACCACCTTACTGAAGTGTTCAAAGCTAACCATCAAGCCAAGTGTCAGAGACACACCCAACAGGTGCTACATGGTGCAGCTAGAACATGGGGTTTATTGGAGGAAACTTAAATGCAAAGAAGTGGCAGAGTGCATGCTGCCCCGTGAACTTTCATTGTTGCACAGCATAAGCCAAGCATAGCTGTTGTGTGTGCACCAAGGCAGCTGGGTGTAAACAGACAGAGCCAGAGGCCAAGAGGGGAAGTGGGCCCCACTCCCACACAGCATTGCACATTTATATGTTAGCCTAATTGGGCTTAGGGAAGTCCTAGTTTCTATAAATAGTAAGAAATACATCAAGGGAAACCTCAGGTACAGTGCTAGCAAGTAAGCATACCAAGGGCCAAGGTCTGCTCAGAGGGTCCTGGGAACACCCTCGCCCACCAGGAATGTTGACACTGACCGATAGTCTTGTCTCTCCGCAGACCTGCTCAGTCCAGCTCAGCAGGCCCTCAGCTCTGCGATGAAAAGAAGGAAGGAAATGAGCCTCCAGGGCCATGTAGATTCGTCTCTGACCAATAATGTCACC